AACTACCGTGTTAAATTGTTAAATGACAGTCTACTGTAATAATATACACAGTAAGGGTACAATAATATTTAATACAGAAGATTCTCAGCATGTTCGTAAATTGAGGACTTGGTGTATATCGAACGTGCTCCAAAACAGGAAGGTATTGACGAAAGCTTTTCATAGATGTTAGGGAATATATTAGAGTCGCTTGAGAAATAACATGAAATAGACACCATAATATTTCATCTGTTGTTATTGTAGTTTTGCGAAGAATGGTTAACTAAAATAAAGCAATAAATTTGGATATACATGTATCTCAATTTGTCAGTGACTTGAGGCCCCTGTCAACTTTAAAAAAATTTTGTTAGTCATGTTGTTTTCTGAATTGGCTTTAATGTTAAATTTCCACCTTTTTTTCACGACGATGCACTGTACATTAGGATTTTTAGGCTGTCACAATAAATTGTCCTCAAAATAATTTTTGAGAATTTTAGTACTTGATATTTCTTGCGAATTGGTATACAAATTACTGATTTTTCACCAGAATTGACTTTGTAATATAATTCACTTTGTTCTTTTAAACCTGTTACTTGGGTAAGGTTGAATTTAATTAGTGTGCATTACTTACCAGTGCAACACTGTACCATGTTGATTTTGTGATATTCAGCGATACCTTTGCAACATTATTGCAACTGAATTTACACTGCCAGTTTGACAACATTGCTCCATGAGCAAATATTGCAGACTGTTTAAACATTATGTACAGTACAAGTATTATTAACACTATGGATGTTTCCTAAAGAAGGAAAGGTGATCCAGTAATAGGAACAGTTCTTCCATAAACTCTTGTAGGTAATTGTGTACATTAAGGAAATTGTAATATAATTCGAGAGAGGAGAGTTTTGCAGACTTCATTTGCCTCTGCTAGAGACTAGTACAAGAATATATATAGTCTGTATAAATTGTACAGTAATATTTTTATCCTATCTCTCTGTTGACAAACCTCATACAATGGTATAATATTCTTGTATTCTCAAGTGTGAACATGCTGAAGATGAATTCTTTCTTACCACATTTTTTTAACAAAGCCAGATATTCAGTAAAACATCAGTGAGAGTTTAATATCTTTGAAGCATGTTCATTCAGAGACTCTTGTGCTGGTTGATGGGTTGCTATGGTATCTGGGTCTTCCATTACACTTGAAGGTATTTTGGGTTTTTCATGACTTGTCTTGGGTTGTCTTTTGTGTCGGGCTTTGACTGTTATTGTTGCATACAGTGATAATTACCTTAACAGTGTTCCAATTGTCACATGAGGTTAGTATTACGTAGTGCAATATTCATGTGGTTGTGTATTTTGGGTAAATATAATTGTATAATTCATAAATTGGTAAAAGTACAGTAGACCCCCGACTTATGATACTAATTCATTCCAGAAGTCTGTTCGGGTGCCGTTACCGAACGAATTTGTTCCCATAAGGAATATTGTAAATTAGATTAGTCCGTTTCAGACCCCCAAAAATGCACGTACAAAAGCACTTAAAAAAATACACTTGCATAATTGTTCGAGTTGGGAGCTGATTGTAAGGCGGGGGTCCACTGTATTCTCTTATTAATTAACAAAAGGAATGTTGTTATCCATAAACCTTAATTCTAAACACAGTATAGTTTTTTAAAGCTTTCTAATTTTCAGCCTTCTTTTAGAGTGCAGTACTCAATCCGTTGTATAAAAATTCTCCAGTTTAATTAATAAATGTACACAGTGGCCACACACAGTTGTATTCATGCACCAATGATATACATATTAGAAATTTATCCTGCTCAGTAACAGAAAGTATTCCAGTTGGATGGTGTTTCCTAGTGGTGAAGGCTATGTATTATCAGTAACAGAAAGGGCTATACCATTTGCATAGTGGTGAAGGCTATATATTATCAATGACAGAGGGATATACCAGTTTGATAGTAGTGAATGCTATGTACTATCAGTAATTTTGCTTAATGACACCAAAGCACAAAAGTAGTGATGGTAACAGTTGTTCGAAGCCTAAGAGACGTTATGAAGTGCTTCCCATCAGTGAAAAAGTAATAATTCTCCACTTATTGTGCATAATTTATCAATTAAACTTCTTCATAAGTATGTATGTATACAAAAAAATACTTATATATATGGTACTAATGAGCTTGGAATTATTTTGATTATACAGTATTGCGGTTATCTGTGACCTGAGGGTAAATTTAACTCATGATATTGTAGAAGTAAACTAATATTGATAGCAAATTAAGAGCTGAAGGTGAGTGAGTAATAATGACATCAAATATACAGTTGGTTAGGAATTAATCAAAAGTTCTGAATAACCTAACTGAAGAGTACTGGTAGTCATACAACTCTACTTACCCACCATAGTGTATGTGTATATATCTGTTTACAAGAAGGTTACAGTAAACAGGTGATATCACAATAAGCACTTAACGAGGTACACCTGCATCTTTACTTCCTGGCCAAGATATTTTATTACTAAGTCTGTAAATACTGCCCTTTTATCTATTCCACATTTAGCTGGAACTTTCTTATTTTACCCTTAAACTGCCAATGGGGATAAAATGAAATTGCATTATGCCACAGTATTTTTGGATTTTTTTTTTCCAAAAAAAATGGCCTTTTGTTTTAAAACAAAAAAAAAATGGGTCAAAACTTGCCAAGAAATAGTATTGAAATTTCTGGTAATACGGTTGCAATACACATGCTTGCAATTGCATACTTTTTTTTTATGTTTATGATTATGCATTTTCATACCATATATACAGGATATTTAGTGATCAGTAACCAATTATTTCTTATTTGAACAAAATTTTTACTGACATTGTTCACTGTACAGTTCCTCCTTTACTTACAAAGGGTTACATTCCAGTGAACCCGTCGTAAGTCATAAATATCACAGGTCAGATATGAATATGATATGCTAAATAAATAAATTATCACTGAATAAATACCAGTATTGAAAAGTAAAAATAATGTATATAAGTTAGGGACTTGCTGCCTTCATGCTGGGTAATTATTAAGTTTCATCTCCAAAGTAATTGCTGCCGCATCATCATTGTCTAAGTATTGCAAGTCGAACCATCATAAGTTGAGGAGCACTTGTACTTTTTGTTTACTTTTCTCATATGTTATGTGTGCCATACAACTCATACACACGCTATATACTCACTATTATGGCAACTACAGTTGATAGAGTTCGTGAAACTCCTCAAAGCAGGATTCTGTGCACAGTGGAATTTTTAAAGTTTTGCGCACACACAGCTTGTGTACTTGTTTTTTCTGATTTTAGAAACATACAGTCTTGTATTTGTTTTTCTAATGGTGTTTAGAACATACAATCCTGTGTCCTTGTTTCTCTGGTGATGTTTAGAACATACATAACACATCTGGTCATATTTCTTCTCAGTGAGAGGAAGTTGTATCATCCTTTAAAGTTCCTATGAGTTTTCTTCGCTTGATGAGACATCAGTAGTGGCAGCAACTCTCTCTTCATATTCATATAACTCCAAGTCCTCATTATTATCTTCAGCATTAGTCAATCTGGACAAATAGTAAATGACCAGTAATCTGTGGAGTGAGTGGGATGTCAAAAGACATTGATATGGTGCCTGGTATACCTAGAGGGTGGTATGGTGTAAAGTTGGCCAAGTTACTGAATTCTGTGCATGTTATAGGTACCTTTGATAGTTGAATGAGCAGTTTTTTATGTTCAGTAGAATGGAAGGCATACTAATGAAATAGCTAAAAATTTAGTTGAATTGAGCATTGGAATCGACTTTACGTAGGACTCGGTGTGAGAAATCACTGATGTGCAAGTTGTGCCCAGACTGCTAACTTTGCGCCTGTGTAATTTCACAAGTCATCTATCATATTTCATGCTTTTGGTGTCATTATCTTCAGAAAACAATTCTCTACCATTTTAGGACAATAAAGGGGTTCAATTTTTTTTAACGTACAGAATTTTTTAATTTGGCAACTTCCCCCCCCCCCCCTTTTTTTTCCCCCATCCATCAACAAGTCTGCCGTCTCCCAGTGAGGCAGGGTGACCCAAAAAAGAAAGAAAATCCCCAAAAAGAAAATGCTTTCATCATCATTCAACACTTTCACCACACTCGCACATTATCAGTTTTTGCAGAGGTGCTCAGATACAACAGTTTAGAAGCATACACATATAAAGATACACAACATATCCCTCCAAACTGCCAATATATATTGGATATAATTTGTGTTAAGTTAGTCACTTAACAGAATATTTATTGACTAACATTCCCTTGGACTGTATGTTATAAAGTGCTACTTTTTTTTTTTTTATTCTCACAACAGATGTAGGCAGATAATTTTTTATTACTGCATTATTGTACAGTACATATTAGAATTGTATCTGGAACAGTGTATGTCTGTTAAGAGTAAAACATAATGTATGGTACAGACCTCATACTTCACCCTGTGTGAATTTTTTTCAACTATAGTGTTTTCAGTATTATAGTCTTAGTTGATCTATTTTTATTTCAAGTGAGTTATACTAATTGATTAAACAGTACATAGTTTGTCACTGTTGATGCATACTTGTGTGTGGCCCTGTGTTGACTCTGATAGATGTTTCTGGTTTTGTTTTGCTTACCTAATGCACGATCTTTACTGCTTTTAGCTTTCTTAATGCTTGTTTGCTTAATTTTATTTACTATTAGTTATAGCAATTGTATTATTAAATAAAAGTCTTCCATAACCCTTAATGAATGTTGTTTTATCAGTTTTTTAAAGTTACGAGGCATGAGAATTATATTTTTGTAAAATATTCAGCACGGCTTCATAAAGTAACTTGTTTGAATATCCGAGTTTCTTAGTCAACTACAAAGTCGTGTAAATGTTTTCTTTATTTTCTGTACACGTCTTAATAGTGAAAAACCTTAAGTTGAATTTTACCCACATGTTGATGTTTCTTAAGGAAAATAATTAAAAAATGTTTTTGGTTTTTGCAGGAGGAACTACAAGAGGCTCTGGCCATACTGCAGTAAGCACATACGATGCTGATGAGGTTCCAAGGTCGAATGGGAGCAATGGAGTGGCAGTAGGAGGCATTGGAAATGGCAATGGAGGTGGAATAGGTGGGAGAGTTCAAAACGGTGGGCGGAATGGCAACGGAAGAACTGCATATAATGAGAAGACTATGTTGCTGAGTTCTGATGATGAGTTTCAGTGAAAAGTTGAGAAATTCAACCTAGGTAAGACTTGGTAGAAAATTTATTGAGACAATACATAAATAACCCACACATAGGAAGAAACTTAGGATGTTTTCAGTCTGACTTTAACTATTAACTAGTCACACACTAACACACCTGCTACATATCATGCAAAACTATCCTCACTACACCATAAAACAGTCACCACTTCATGTGTGACTAGTTATTGGTACAAGTCGTACCAAATTGTGATCATAAGTTTCTCCTATGTGAGGGTTATTTGTGTATTGTAATTTTTTTTTTAACAGGTTTCACTTTTATATCATAGTTCTTGGCATCCTTAAAGTAGTATACCTTGAAGCTGGTGAGAATCTTTTGTGCTAGGAAATCTGAGCTACACTTTCTTTTTCTTAGATCAAACCTGATTATGCCCCATTTCCAGGTACTACACATCTTGTTCTAGCACTTGCCTATGCATTTTCTGTAATTTTATTAACTCAGCTGGATTCTCCAATTGAGGTAGTGACCCTTGCATTAATCATTCATTTCATAGCTGTCTTGTAGACGTTGCAATTCAAATGACTCTGAACTGCAGTATCCCTACTTCAGGGTGTAGGCACTATATTTTCACCACCAGTACTGGGTTTGGCTAATAGGTTTTGATGAATCCTTTCATAAATGTTTCCTTCTTCCAACAGCATTTGCTCCTGTCTAGCATACTTTCACAACCCTGTTGAATTTTTTCCTCATTGGCCGCCATCTGCTAAAGCAGGGTGACCCAAAAAAGAAATGCTTTCATAAAGTGTTTTTTTACATTTAGTAATTTACACAGAAGTGGTCACTAGCCCCTTGCTCCTCGTAAAGGGCTAGTATGACTTACAGAGGAAGGATTCTTCTCTGCTTCTCCATGGAGTGCTGTAATCCTTTGTGCTTGAGTTATTTCTCTACAGTTTGTTGCCAATACTTCAAGTTGACCTTTTTTAATACACTGAATGTAAAATAATTATTAATAAGGGGAAATGTCTGTTCATTTACAAAGCTGAAAATACACCTCACTTGCTATACACCTTAAGTATCGTGTAATGTGTTACTGTCTATTTTAGACATTACCTGTCAGTTTTGTAAACTGTTAGGTGGATAAACCACATGTGCCACACTTGGGTATCTTTGGTATGGAGACATCTTGCCATCCAGTGACTTAGCAGTCTAAAACAGAGAATAATACTGGAGATGGTGAAAGACTTCAGGGGGTGTTCGTGCCATCGGTCTTGACTGTCAGAATGTCTATTGAAATAGGCCCCTAGTATTTTTTATATTGCTCCGATATTCTGCAAAATATAGCTTCTCTTGCTTGATAAGACACAAAAACAGATTAATGGAATTTCAAAAGTTTCCATTAGTCTGTATAATTTAGTCACACTCCATAAATTCTCGTCTTTTCCGTCACTTGTGCGAATTTTCAGAACTAAAGTATAATATTAACATTTTGGATAACCAAAATTTTGAGCACTATTCTGGTTCCATGAGATGAGAGATGATTCATACAAACTTGAAATCTAAAATAAGGACCAGTGTAAACTCTGGAAACCATAAAAAAATCTTGTATGGGAAATTTTAGCACAAACCATTACAAATGAAACAATGTTAAGAGTACCAGTGCAGATAGGAAAACTGTGCTTACTGATATATAGGAAAAAAATTAGTCTACTCCCATGGTGAGTTTTTTAACACAGTGGCCTTCTACCACTGAGACAGGGTAACCCCAAAAAATCTTTTCACCATCATTCGCATTTATATTGTTGTCTTCACAGAGGCATGCAGATACAACAGTCCAAATGTCACTCCAAATGCCAAATATCCCAAACCCCTCCTTTAAAGTGCAGGCATTATACTTCCACCTCCAAGACTCTTGTCTGGCTAACTGGTTTCCTTGATTCTCTTTGCAAAATATTAGTTTTGTCAAAGGATATGAAAACACCATGTGTTGACTAGTGATGTAGAACAAATCTGATCTCGGACCATGCTGCGGGGGCATTGACTCTCGAAACCCACTCCAGGTATACTCCCCTATATGAGGGCTGAAATATACTCCAGACTTGTGGTTATGCCGAAGTCTGGTTATTATAGTGAAAGCGAACACCCTCTCCTATCTTATGACCACATTTTCCTTGTAGATTGCCCTGTTTACCAGCGAGCTCGCAGAATTTACCTCCAATGCCGCTGCTGCCCTACCACTCTTACCTTATCTTCCCTTCTTGCAGACGGCCCTGCCTTTGACTTGCAATCACTTTTTGACTTTTTGTCACCAGCTGCTTTATTGTACGAACTTTGACACATAGCCCTTAGCGTCCCTTCCAGCCCTTCTCTCCCCTTACCTCTGATCCCCTCTCCAACTAGCTGTTTATAGCCTCAGCACTATTTTCTGCCCTGCAGTGCTATATGACCCTTGTCAGTTTAGCTCTTTCTTTGATTATCATAATTATGGCCACACTCCTTGGACACAGACTTCCTATTTGACTCTGTCAGTGACAGCTTCGTTGCACAACTTTGATTATATTTCCTTTTAGCACTCCTCCTGACTGCCAGAGTCAGTCGGGAAGGGCAGTGATCTTGTTTATTACATCCTTAGCACAACCTACCCTGCAGTGCTGTATGGCCCGTGTGGGTTTAGTAGTATTTAGTTTTGATTGTAATACGTAATTATGGTCATAGTCCACATAATAATTAAGATAATACATCCCTTGGAGAGTGCTAAACCTGCAGGGGACAGTACCTTGGGGGAAGGGAGGCATTCAGTTTAGATCCAAGGATGAGGAGGGCAGGTCCAATTTCTTAAATCAAGAGCCCTATAGCCATTATCAAGGAATCGAGGGGAGGAGAGTAAAGTAACAGAGCATTGCCCTGATGTCCCCTTAAGGGAGGCTCCTTAATGCTAGTGAGAGGCTCTTGATCTAGGGAATTGGTTGTGTGCTGTAATTCCCTGAATGCCTTCCACCCCCCTCCTCCACAGGTGTTGTGTAATTCCTACAGGTTTAGCACTTCTCTATGATTGCCCTAATATATTAAAACTTAACAGTTTTAAACATGGCTGATTTTTGTTTCAGGTTGGGAAGATTATCATTCCTCTAGTGTGCAACAACAACAGCAGCAGCAGCAGCAGCAGCAGCTAGTTATTCTTACAAAGCATCTCCAGAAGTTCATCATATGTAGTCATTTACAGCAGTGCAAATATATGATACACTATTGTATCAAATTTGTGATGGATTCAGATCTTGAATCTTGAGAGTAACTGGGCAGTTGCCAGTGTGTGCGTGTGTTTCGCTAATATTGGTGCTCATTAAGAAATTGGAGCCGTGCAGGGAAGGCACATTCACTGAACTATACCAAAATAGGTATTTTTTATTTTAAGTCTTTGAGGAGACTTTACAGCACTAGTGTGGACCATTACTATATTTTGTTAATTTATTCAATTAATTTTAGCTTGATACTGTAGTTTACTGAGCCTCACCAGCAGTTGCTAACATATTTGATACTTCTAAAATCTGATTATTGTGTCAAGCTTTTTTATTTATTGAGGAAAATTAAACTTTTAACTATTGCAAAAAAAATATTTGCTTTCTGAATAAAATGCCTATTTTTTCAGTAGAAAAATTATCATTGGATTTAAAAGATTATTTAGGGGAAAGTCTTAAACAGGGGTTAGACAACACCTGGAAAAAGGGAAGGCCATTAAGTGTGATCCAGTACAGGGAAAGACAGGTTCAATTGATTGCATCAAGAACGTCTCACTGGCAGATCTTAAAGATTGATCCCAGTAAATAACAGTTTGCAAGTGTTATTTTTTTCTTATTGCACTGCCTCTTTAATGTGGAAAAGTGGTGACCAACCATCAGACTAGTCAGTGATCACACTGCTTTTTAGCCAGGAGGTTAACGCCTCCACTAATAGCACTCCGCAACACAAGGGTTTAGTGCTTCATGAATGCCAATGCATTTTACACAAAGCAGTTGCATATATGAATAGATGATTATAATCATGGATAAGTAATAATAAAGCATGCACATCTTTATCATAACTTCTTGTGCTTATCCAATGGGACACTTGTAGAATGCTGGAGCCTCGCTCATCTGACATAATTCAGTGGTAGGGTTATGTACTGTAGCTTACATAGCCTGCAAGACTGAATAAAAAAACTGGTACACTTCAACAAGATTCCTGGAACTTTATTCTAGAGCAATTTGTGGACAGCAACCATCCTGTTGTGAGTGAACTGGAGGCCTATCAAATATTTGGATATTTTGGCAGGATTGCTCTTTTTCTTCATCTCGTTAACATATGAGATGGCTGGTAAATCTTATGAAGCTTCTACTTCCATACAGTAAATGTTGTTTCTTTCCATTTCCTAAATCAGTAGCCCTTATTTCTGCAGTGTTTCTTTTCCAAAGATGGAGGCCTGGTCTGATCCCAGGCTCGAGAGTCAGTGTTCCCTGTAATCATTAACACAACAGTGATATGGATAAAAGCGGCAGGGTTAACAAAAACTACAATATAACTAATGTCAATAAATATTAAATTTTATTATTAACAAAGTAATTATTACTTGGTATTGTCAAATTAAAAAGCTTGATTTTTGTATATTAACTATTGATGAATTATAGGCGAGATTTGTTTATAAAAGTCGTGCTAAAAATTTATGAGCAAACAAAACAGTTCGGTGGAGTTGTTGATATTTTATAACCTTGAACCTGTGGTCTAGGATTGCCATTCACCTTTTAACCATGGTACTAAGTGCCAGGTTACTAGTTGCAGATGAGTCTAGATGCCTGTTGCTCCATTGAAATACAGTCAAGTACTTGATGTCACTGAAGATTTGGTGCATGATGTTTTGCAGTGTGGATAGAAACTTCAGTGTTTATAGACCCTACTTGTATCACTGCTGTCTTGTTGGTATGCATTATTTTGCTTGCCAAGACACTTTTTTTCATATTGAGTCTGGTGTCCACTAAACTCAATAATTTATTAAGAAGAAGCTTCAGGGGTGTATGTTAAAAATACAGAATGATTCTAACAAATGTTTAACATAGTATCTCCAGGTTAGTAGATGTCTATGAAAAAACTGTCCTAAAATAGCGATATTTAAGAAGTAAATGCCTATTGATGCATATACACTTGCCTGTGTTTGGTAAAGTGAGATATATTTTACTGTTAAAGCAACCTTTTTGCCACGGTAAATATTCTGTAATAACTTCGGTTATTGCAAATACTGATTATACTGCATTACCTCTTACTTCGAGAGGTTATGCTACAGGAGGCATTGCTCTCTTATATATGTATGTAAAAGCTTAATGCTGCAAGGATTATTCCATTTGTGATTAGAGTTCTGCATGATTTGATTTCGGAAGGTAAAATAATTGGACCCAACACGTCTGTGGAATTACAGTGGAACCTCAAATTTTGAACTTAATCCATTCCAGGAGCTAGTTCTAAATTCAAAAAGTCTGAAAATCAAAGCAATATTTCTCATAAGAAATAATGGAAATACAATTCCAGAAACCCAAAAATATTCACAAAAAAATACATTTTATAGAGGTTAATTACAGTTTTACATACACAAAACAAATACTATTGTGTTCAATTATGTATATAAATATAAAATAACATTTTTACTTCCCTTTATTGGTGATGGCATCTGGAAGATAGGGAGGAGGAGAGAGGGAGTTGGGGTTAGTGTTTGGAAGAAGAATCCCCCTCCATGAGGACTTAAGGTAAAGCCCTCTCTGGGGTTACTTCCCTTCTCTGTCTTTTAATGCCACTAGGACCAGCTTGAGTCACTGGACCCCTGTGTCACAAAATAACTGTCCACAGTCCTCTGTTTCTAGTGCCTCTTTAACATTTCCCTAAAATGGGACATGGTTCTGTCACTGAACTTGTTGCAAAGATGGCTTGTTTCAGCTTGCTCAGGGTGGTATTTCCCCACAAACATTTGGACATGATTCCACTTGGACATCATTCCACTTCTGTATTTCCTTCTTCACATCTATGGTGTTTCTCACTTTCTTTACCGCAGGGGTACCACTAGCAAGTTTCTTTGGGCCCATGGTAGTTTATTTCACAGTCCCACAAGCACTAAACACAATGAAATAATCGTTAAATGTTTGAAAGAGAGTGCAGGTTAGCGTTCACTCAAGCATAAACAAAGCCAGACTGGCTCACGGCGCCTGCGTGGGGACGTGGACAGAGCGGGCTGGTGGACAGGTCCAGTACCCGGTGGTCCGAAAATAGGGGCGCGTTCGATAACAGGGGCAAAGTTGGTTCGAAAAAAGGGTTCTATTTTTGAAACGTTCGATATGTGATACGTTCGAATTTTGAGGTCCCACTGTATTAAGGATTTTCCTTGATTTTTTTTTTTTTTTCGCTGGTCGCTACTAAATCACTCTTCCTGCTCCGTGAGCTTTGTCATACCTCTTCTTAAAACTATGTATGGATCCTGCCTCCACTACATCACTTTCCAGACTATTCCACTTCCTAAAAACTCTGTGACTGAAGAAATACTTCCTAACATCCCTGTGATTCATCTGAGTCTTCAACCTCCAACTGTGACCCCTTGTTGCTGTGTCCCATCTCTGGAACATCCTGCCTCTGTCCATCTTGTTGATTCCTCTCAGTATTTTGTGTGTCATTATCACATCCTTCTTTTCTCTCCTGTCCTCCAGTGTCGTCAGGTTGATTTCCCTTAACCTCTCCTTGTAGGACATGCCCCTTATCTCTGTGTCCGTGTGTGTGTGTGTATGTGCATGCGTGTTTATTAAATCTTTTTCACACATGCCATGGTATGATGGAAAATATATTTATCATTAGTTCAGCAAAGATGTGATATAATAGGTATTAACCCTTAAACTGTCCAAACATAGATCCACGTTTGCGCACGTAGCGCTCCGACCTTGATTTTCTCCATAAGAAAGCATGTAAAAAAAACGTAGATCTACGTTCGGAGCTCTATGCAAGCGAAGGTAGATCTACGTTTGGACAGTTTAAGGGTTAATAAACAAGGCTAGAAAGGGATATTAGTTTTAATTCAGGTTATTGGTCTTGCTAAGAATATATATTTCAAACGTATCTTTGTTAATATTTGGTAATGTGTTGTTAAGTTATGCATTTTAATAGTAAATATATCATTAAAGCAAACTGTAATTTAGCAGTGGTGGTGCTGACTCCTTACATTTTATCACACTCCCAGAGCACAGGTAGACACATCCTTGTACATTATACATGCTGGTTCTTGGCAGTTAATACACAATGCACAAACCTTCCACTTCCCTTACTCTTGTGCTGACAAATACCACACCATATCCTGCACCCCCTCATGCACAAACATCCCCACATATGCACACTGGTAAAGTGCTAGGTAAAAGGAAGATAACAGTAATGCCAGTATTCAAGAAAGTGACATGCAAAAAGCCTTGAAGTACAGACCCGTGTTTTTTTTTTTTTTTTTTTTTTTTTTTATCACCCTACCTTTCTTCCAAGATAGGGTGATCTGAAAAAGAAAAACCTCTCACCATCACTACAGTCTTGCCAGACATGCAGATACTATAGCTCGGATGACTCTCCAAACTGCAATATCCCCCATCCTTCCATGAGAGTGTAGGCATTGTACTTAGAAATAAATGGTATAAAATGCCGACACAATGGAAAATAAACACATAAGCAGTATGTGATCCTTTATTGACAATGTTTTGCCCACACAGTGGGCTTTATCAAGTCAAATCAACCTGGGTGAAAGGTATGAGAGTATTTATAGCATTCTCCACTTGACTCGCGTACTTTTCATCCAGGTAGATCTGTTTGAGACTTGATAAAGCCCACTGTGTGGGCAAAACGTTGTCATTAAAGGATCACATTATACTGCTTATGTGTTTATTTTTCCAGGCACTGTACTTATCACCTCCAGGACTCAAATCTGGCTAATCGGTTTACCTGAATCTCTTCAGAAATGTTGCCTTGCTAACACCCCAAGAGCATGTCAGGTCATAAAAACCCCTTGTCTCCACTCCTATCTTAGACACACACACACCTCTTGGATGTCCAAGCCTCTTCCTTATAAAACCTTCCTTAGCCCCTCCCTCTAACCTTTCCTAGGATGAACCCCCTACCCCTCCTTCCCTCCACTGCAGATATATACACATTCCAAATCATCCTGCTTATACTCAGTCCTCTCTAAAATATCCAGACCATCTCAATAACCTTTCCTTAGCCCTCTGAATAATACTCTTAGTAACCCTGCACCTTCTAATGTCCAAGCTACAAATTCCCTGCATAATATTTACACCACACATTGCCCTCAGATACACATCTCCAGTGTTTTGAGCCGCCTCCACTGCAACATTTAAAACCTGTGCCTTGCACTTGTGTAAGTGTTGGTACCACTATACTCTAATACATTCCCCTTTTTGCCACTATAGATAAAGTTCTTTGTCTCCATAGATACGTTAAACATAGCATGCAAATTGCTGAAAAAGATCTGGAGGAGACTTTAAATATCTTGGTATTGGATTCCTTGCAGAAAACTAGTGAGGAGGACTTGGAAATGGAAGATATATATTACCAGGTCTCTTAGAGATGTATAAATCATGGACAAAGAAATTAAACGAGAGACTGAGGGGAAAGGCAAATCATAGATTGTAAGTTTAATAGTAGTACACTGATCCTGTTGGGTTTAGCACTTTGTTCTGATAGTAGCGCACACAAATGCGAGCTAGGGGTATAAAGACCACAAGTGCCTTCAAGGGCTCTTGATATAACAAATTAGAGCTACAGTCCTCCTTGGATCACTCTTATTACCTCCCCTGAAGCTACTATGCCCCGACCCCAGCCCCGTTTAGTGCTTGTCCCACGATTATCTCTGACCTGACCTGATCATACACAGTAAACATTGCTTAATAATCATTCAGCCTCTGACCTGACCTGATCATACACAGTAACCATTGCTTAATAATCATTCAGCCAGAAAACATGAAAGTATCTGGTTTTTGAACAGACTTCACTTTAACACACACGGCCAAATGGTGATAGCTCTAAAAATGGACATTATCACCAACAACACACATGATTATTATTACCCCCACCTTCTTAGTCACTAATATAACTTCTCCATTGTTTTGCAAAAATTGTTGAACTTAATTTTTCTCCCACTCTTGTTCCATCTTTCACTTAAGATCTACAACCATCAGTTCGCTCTGTCCACTCATGCCCTGATTCTTCCTCTTTGGTTCTTTCCTCTTCTAGCTTTGAGTTTCCCTTTCTGTATTCCTTGTAACAAAATTACTTCAAAACTAATCTCTCATTCAGCTTCATCGGGGCATAAGTGAATAGCACTGCATGTCAGTGTTAAAGATTGCAAAGATAATTCTCACAGGGACAATGGAAACCAGACATCATTTCAAAATTCACTCTCAAGAAGTGTATACTTACCCCTAGCCTACTACAAAATGCCAGCATAAGATCAAAAATTACATAAGACAAATGCACTTCCTACCCAAATTGTGAGCTTTACCTCAAGACCTTTCATCACACTCACTCCATGACTTTTAACAAATGATAAAGACCAAACACGTATCCATATATTCTTAGGAGAAATTCTCCTCAAGGTGTAGGTCCTGGATGCTAGTGAAAGACTTGCTCTAAGGAATTTGACTTATTCCCTTGACTTGAACCTGACTGGCTCCCATTACCCAGGCACTGGATGACCCTATGGGTTCAGTGCTTCCCCCTAAATTCTTGACTCAAGAAATCGTAATGACACGATTGCAAACAAACCATACCCCCGGCCGGGATTGAACCTAAATTCTTCTTTGAACGAACCAGCCATATCCCACCAAGGCAGGGCGACCTAAAAAGAAAAGTTAGTTATACAGAAGGGGTTACTAGCCCCTTGCTCCGGGCATTTTAGTCGCCTCTTATGACACGCAAGGTTTACGGAGGAAGAATTCTGTTCCTAGCGTGTTCGTCGGTTGAAGACTTTCTGTATTATGAATATTACACACATTTCAGGAGGTCCCCAATGTGTTTGTAAGTTGAGGACTTAATGTAATTGAGAGCTTTTCAATTTATGAGGTAAATGTATCATAACTTTGTAATTAGTTTCAAATATGGATAGAGAAATATTTGGTTATTTAACTTGTACTGGAACAATAGAAATAAATTAGGATGGAATAGTAATGGAGTTGCACAAGGATCATTCTTGGTACTTATACTGTTGCTGAAAGGTACAGATAAAAAAAAAAAACCTTACCAGTTATTTAGAGGTCAAGCAAGTCAGCATGTATCATAGAGGAATTATTTATTAACTGGGTTCAGCATCACTATTCCAGAAGTCACGTTTTACCTGTAATAATGTTGGTAGAATTGCCAACAGTGTTACACAAAAGGACAAGCGCCACTAATGCAACGTTTTACCATGGCAATCTTTCACTCTCCAGGAGCTTTGCCAAGCCGTTGTCAGTGGCTTGACAAAGCTCTTGGAGAGCGAAACGTTGTTACAATAAAATGCATTAGTTGCGCTTGTGCTCTTTTACCTAGCATATTTTACTTGCTCAGCCAGAACCTTGTATTCAAGGTTCTCTTCAGCCTTAATTCTTGTACTCTTCCAGATGTAAAAAAAAATTTTTTTTAACTACCAAATACATCTTTAATAGAACCACCAGACTGTGGGAATGTTAGTGTAGCTACACACTAAGTAATGTGGAAGTGTTGTAGCAGTGGACTCTGAATCAGGTCATGGAGTACCAAATTTTTTGAACAAATTTAGTTGATGGGCATCTGCAGTGTTACAGTATGTCAAGTGCATAGAATAAAATGCTCTACCATCAGCTGTATAAATACTGCAGGGTAAAAGACCAAAGATGTCACAAGATTACTGGTGCAACCATCGACATCATTGCAAGAACCTCTACTAATGATCCGCAACATTCCACCTCGGCTCCGCAGGGCCACAACATACTTCCATTCTTTTCAGTATCAACATACACCAGCAACCAGAATTTAAGGCAAGATATTTATGTTACCTTTGTAGCCATAAGTATTATTAAATATAATTCATCACTACATCCAACTAAAATTATATTTTTTTTTATATTCTGAGATCTAACAAAAATTAGTTTGCCATTTTTGGGGGTCAGAGTAGTGTAGCCCTACATTTCCCCATATGTTCAGTTCATTGGTTTTAGTGCTTAGTTTTGATTGTAATATTTATAATTTTCAGTTCATTTTAGACTATTTTGATTAGATGCCATTTTTAAGACTTTACCATCTTAGTCAACAGTCAGCTGTACCTAGACTATACAGTACATTATTGTGTACAATTGACAGCAAGCTGGTGAGAGTAACGAGGTTGTAAGATTGGATGTATCTCAGTAATGGTTACTAAACTTTAATCATAAAAGGTTTTCAATATTGAAGCTGGGGGCAAAAAATAGTACCATCTGGGTAGGAAAAACCTCGTGGAACATAGAGATCTAGAAATGACTCAAATCAGCCCCCTGAGGCACATAACAGAATCATCAGTAGCACAGGCTAAGCTAGCAAATGTAGACGGATTCATTTTTCATTCTGTAATTGGTATATGTGACACATTATTGACAATGCCATACTGGTGCAGAACCCCACACTAGTGAAACCTAGAAACTGAAGTGCCAGCAGGGTATACTGTGAAGACTAGTAGATAAATCAATGGATATGAACTATGAGGAATGTGTGTACCAGGCTTTACCTTGTGGGAGTAAAGACCAAGAAAGGATATGTTCACTGTATAAAATACTAAGAGCATAGAGTAAAAAAGGATGAGCTCTTTACTAGAGGTACAAGAAAGATGTATGGTTGGAATTACTCTCCAATGAGCCATATGGATACCAGGTAGTACAGGGATTTCATCAGCATTAAAGTGGTAAGTGGAATGAGCCAAATGATAGCAGAAGCAATCTTTATAAAGGGATCAATAACTAGGTACTTTATAACCAAGAGTTGGTTATAACAGTTGGTAAAGTGTTGAGAGATAGGCCAGGCACTTTGGCTCACAACATCCCTTCCCTACAAACATTTCTCTCCCGCTACATGCATGTGCACACATTACCCCCCAACACCTGTGCTGCACATTCCACACACCATACCTTTCTCCTTATGCTCCCAAGAGCTAGAGCTTGCCATCCCTAGCAAACTCACTAGTTTAATTACTGCACTAGCAATACCCATCAAATTAGTTGAGTGACAGAATCAGTTGACAGGACCCCTGCAAACAGTACACCTGTGTGTGTGCGCGCGCATGCATGCACACACACACATACACACACACACGCGCACCAAGCATCTCTGCTCCTAGAACTACAAATATGGAATTGTATATGTATACTGATGCTTGTGTGAAGATCATTAGCAGGGTTAGAGAAACTATATTTAATTGAAATAATTAAACTAGCTTTATTGCAAATTTTCATTATAATTTTGAACTTTTATATATACAGTGGTACCTTGAATTTTGGCCATAATTCGTTCCAGAAGGCTGTTCGAGTGACATTACCGAATGAATTTGTTCCCATGAGGAATAATGTAAATTAGATTAGTCAATTGCAGACCCCCAAAAATACACTTACAAAAGCACTTACGAAAGTACACTTAAATAATTGTTCGAGTTGGGAGCTGTTTGAAATTTGAGGTACCACTGTATAGTTGGAGCCTCGATACTTCACAAAAAAATTAATTTTTAGTTTCACAATTTGGAATTATTTTCAGATGTGGCATACATAAAATTATTTACCTTTCAATCTTAAACTTTGTACTGGTTATTGACATTTAAAAAATTTCAGGGAAATTTGTAAGTGAGCTACACATCTATCCTGAATTTGAGTAATAACTGGTAGTGATAAAATTGACTTGCCAATCAGTATTTCTGAAGACTCACAATTTCCTTGCTCTACCGTAGTTGATAGTCTTGTTCCTAAAAACGTGTAAATGATGATGGTTCTAAAAAAATGTATAGGCTTGTGTGGCTTTCATTGGTTTATATATTATATATAAGTATGGTATACATCAACAATGCTTCTTAAACAACACGGGTGTAAAAACAGTTTTGAGAATTTTTTGCTAGGTAATATACAGTTTTATCAGCATATATAGGAGGTATCTTAACTTGAACGCCCAAAAATTGCATTCACACTTATGAATGATGCACCTGGGAACCAACTATAATTTTACAACAGCTTATCAGTACATCAGTGGTAGAATACACCTACAAATATTTTAAGATAATGTGGTTTATGGCATTTTATGAATTTTTTGTCCAAGCACCTCATTCATTCTCAGATGGGTAAAAAAGAGAGCATATGTATGTATACATATAGTATAGTGGAGACATGTTAAGTATAGAAATGAGCAGGTGTTGCTTGTGCGAGGAGATTCGTTCCATTCAGTATTGCATAGCAGTTTAGCTTACGTGATGAAAAAGTCTCGGCATTAACATGAGTGAAAGGACAGATCTATTTCCACATCCATTTTTTTTTCCATCAGGTATTGTGATGTTTCTCAGCCACGTGAAAACACCAGAGATTAAAATTAGGTGGATCAGTAAGCAGACTTCAGTACGTCTTCATAATATTTGGTGTAAGAGCAGTGTTGTATGTGGTGGGAATAAGTCTGACCAGTGTTTCAGAAATAAGATATGAGCCTGACTTCTGTGTGATGGTGTTAGTTGTGTCTGTTTACCTGGAGAGAGTTCCGGGGGTCAACACCCCCGCAGCCCGATCTGTGACCAGGCCTCCTGGTGGATCAGAGCCTGATCAACCAGGCTGTTACTGCTGGCTGCACACAAACCAACGTACGAGCCACAGCCCGGCTGGTCAGGAACCGACTTTAGGTGCTTGTCCAGTGCCAGCTTGAAGACTGCCAGGGGTCTGTTGGTAATCCCCCTTTTGTATGCTGGGAGGCAGTTGAACAGTCTCGGGCCCCTGACACTTATTGTATGGTCTCTTAGCATGCTAGTGACACCCCTGCTTTTCATTGGGGGGATGTTGCATCATCTGCCAAGGCTTTTGCTTTCGTAGTGAGTGATTTTCGTGTGCAAGTTCGGTACTAGTCCCTCTAGGATTTTCCAGGTGTATATAATCATGTATCTCTCCCGCCTGCGTTTCAGGGAATACAGGTTTAGGAACCTCAAGCGCTCCCAGTAATTGAGGTGTTTTATCTCCGTTATGTAGACAGATTCTAAGCATAGTCGGCTACTCCTGCTTTCTTAGTGATTAGTAGTGCTGGAGTTCATCACATGGTTCTGTTGCAATGTACAGGTGCTCCTCAGCTTATGATGGGGGATGTGTTCCGATAAACCCATCATAAGTCGGCTGTCTCCCACCGAGGAAGGGTGACCCCAAAAAGAAAAATACTTTAATCATCATTCAACACTTTCACCTCACTCACACAAATCACTGTTTTTGCTGAGGTGCTCAGAATACAACAGTTTAGAAGTATATATGTATAAAGATACACAACACATCCCTCCAAACTGCCAATATCCCAAACCCCTCCTTGAAAGTGCAGGCATTGTACTTCCCATTTCCAGGACTCAAGTCTGGCTATGTAAAATAACGGTTTCCCTGAATCCCTTCACTAAATATTACCCTGCTCGCACTCCAACAGCTCATCAGGTCCCAAATACTATTTGTCTCCTTTCACTCCTATCGAACAGGCTCACACACGCTTGCTGGAAGTCCAAGCCCCTCGCCCACAAAACCTCCTTTACCTCCTCCCTCCAACCCTTTCGAGGACGACCCCTACCCAGCCTTCCTTCCCCTACAGATTTATACGCTCTCCATGTCATTCTACTTTGATCCATTCTCTCTAAATGACCAAACCACCTCAATAACCCCTCTTCAGCCCTCTGACTAATACTTTTATTAACCCCACACCTCCTAATTTCCACACTCCAAATTTTCTGCATAATATTTACACCACACATTGCCCTTAGACAGGACATCTCCATTGCCTCCAACCGCCTTCTCACTGCAGCATTTACAACCCAAACTTCACACCCATATAAGAGTGTTGGTACCACTATACTTTCATACATTCCCTTCTTTGCCTCCATAGATAATGTTCTTTGTCTCCACATATACCTCAATGCACCACTCACCTTTTTTCCCTCATCAATTCTATGATTAACCTCATCCTTCATAAAACCATCTGCCGACACGTCAACTCCCAAGTATCTGAAAACATTCACTTCTTCCATACTCCTCCCCAATTTGATATCCAATTTTTCTTTATCTAAATCATTTGATACCCTCATC